CACATTAACTTTTTTCTAATCTAAACCAAGCACTGCCTACGAAGGACAGAGTGGTGTAGAGAAGGCTCTCCCAAGGCCTGGGCTTAGGAAGCTTAGTGTAAAGAGCACAGGGTTTATGCCATGGAAGAGCCACATGGCAGGCTGCCCAAACTGCCTGCAGGGCCATTGAACTCGGGGGTGGTGAAGGAGGACAGTGAGCCGCCGGGATGTGACCGTGGGCGTGGGCAGTGGCACGCCCAGCAGTGTCGGGGGCCCCTAGAGGCTAAGTGGCACCTGGAGAAGGCGATGAGGCATTTCTGAAAGAATGTTCAGAAATCATCTATCATCATGCCAGGAAAACTCCATGCAGAGCATGGAGAATTTCATCATGTTACTGTACAATACAATTCCCTGGAGGACAACGCACAGACAAAACTGTAGAATGGCCAGAGGCGGTGGACTGACAGCACCCAGCGCGGCCAGGCTGGGGAGCAGCAGGAACTCTCGTTCACAGATGGCGGGAGTGCAACATGGGGCGGCCACCTCGAACGATGGTTTGGCAGCTTCTTACAAAACTAAACACACTCTAACATGTGATCCAGCAACCATGCTCCTCGGGGTTTCCCCAAAGGAACGGAAAACTCATGTTCATACGGAAGCCTGCACGTGGATGTTTCTAGCAGCTTTGTGCATCATCACTGAAACTTGGAAGCAACCAAGATATCCTTCAGAAGGTGAATGGATAAATAAACTGTGGTTCGTGCAGACAATGGAATATTATTCAGTGCTAAAAAGAAACGAGCTATCCAACCATAAAAAGACAAGGCGGACGCTTAAATGCAAATTAGTAAGTGCAAGAAGCCAATACAAAAAGGCTACATACTGTCTGATCAAGCCGTAAGACACTCTGGAAAAGGCAAATCGAAGACAGTACAAAGATCAGTGGTCGCCCAGGGTTGGGGGAGGTGGACAAATAGAGCATGTAGGATTTTTAGGGCAATGAAAATATTCTTGATGGTACTGTAACAATAGATACATATCATCATATATTTGTTCAAATCCATAAAGTGTGCAACACCAAGAATGAGCCCTAAGGTGAACTCAGGACTTTGTGTGATGATGATGTCAGCCTAGGTTCATCCATGGTAAAAAATGTATCAGTTGGGCGAGGGATATTGGGCGACTCCGTGCCTGTGGGGCAGGAAGTATAGGGGAAATCTCTGTCCCTTCCTCTCATTGTTGTTGTTAACCTAAAACTGCTCTAAAACTAAAGTTATTAAAGGAAAACAACAACAACCCCCCCCACAATTGATTCCATATTTATACTAAGAATTAGCATATAACTACTTTTTTAGCTAGATAGGCAAATTTAACTGGTTTTTAATATTTTTGTTTCTATTTTCAGGATTACATTGTAATCAAATGTTTTCCTTCCTATTAACTATGGCATTTCGGTTGCCCCTTGAAGTGTAATTGCTTTCCGAGTCAGGCTGCCAGGGTGCCCTCACGCACGTGGGTCTCCTGGGGTGCTGTTTTCAGGGTCGTTCTGTGGCGCTCGCTCATGCTGGGCAGCGGAAGTGGGTGACTGTGCAGCAATGGGCAGCCAGTGAGGGACGGCAGCGGCACAGCCCCGCCAGGGTCCGGATGCCCGCCCGGCACCAGCCAGCATTCTGTTCATCAGGGGAGGTTCGTGGGGGTGGACTCTGTGCTTCCAAATCGCCTGCACCGTCCAAACTCCGGTGCGGGGCCTGCTCCTCCCGGCCCCTGCCTGTGTCTGTTGACAGGTGGATCGGGGTCCTGACACCGAGCCAGTGCTGGGAGACCCTCCCTGCACCTGCCCCCGCGAGGACAGCCCCCTTGAGACCTCACAGATCTGGCCGTCCTGGTGGGTTTGTCTTCTGTGCAAACACATCCGCTCCTAAGAGAAAACTGCACTTCCCGTCCAAGTCAGCAGTATGTGGCATTGCTTCTAGAGAGCAGGTGTTGGCTAGATGAACAGATAAAGACAGTGTCTGAGACTGGAGGAGGGTGGCCGCCACAGAGCAGGAGAACGGGTGTGTCAGCCCAGAAGTCGACGTCAGAACTGCAGGAGGCGCACCTGCTTCCCATTCTCGGGTTCTTCTTTTCTGTTGTTTCATTTCCCTGACACCACATGCTAGTATCTGATTTAGCCTTTTGTTTATATTGCCCATCATTCTTATTGTCTCATGCTTCCTTTTCCCTGTCTAATTTTTTTTGTAATTTCTCATTTGTTTCCTTTAAGCTTTTCTTTTCTCTCTTTCTCTTTCTTTCTCCTTCCTCCCTCCCTCCCTCCCTCTCTCTCTTTGCCTTTCCTTCTTTCTCCTCCCCTCCCTCCCTCCCTTCTTTCTTTCTCTTTTCCTTCCTTCCTTCCTTCCTTCCTTCCTTCCTTCCTTCCTTTCTTTCTTTCTTTCTTTCTTTCTTTCTTTCTTTCTTTCTTTCTTTCTTTCTTTCTTTCTTTCTTTCTTTCTCTTTTTCTCTCTTTCTTTCTCTCTTTCCTTCTTTCTCTCTTTCTTTCTTTCTTTCTTTCTTTCTTTCTTTCTTTCTTTCTTTCTCTCTTTCTCTTTCTCTCTTTCTCTTTCTCTTTTTCTTTCTTTCTCTCTTTCTCTCTTTCTTTCTTTCTTTTCTTCAGGATTTCCTCCCTTTCCCATTCTTCTGCTGGCTCACAGCTTACAGATGCCATGTTTCTTATGCGCTCGCCATGTGGGTGGACTGTTACTTTCGATAAACACTCACCTGGTGACAGAGTGAGAAGCTGGATGGCTGCGGCTTCCTCTTTCCAGCAACTTCTGACACACGGAACCACTTTCTGAAGAAAAGAAGCTGTTGCGGTGGAGAGAAACTGTCCTCAGTAGTACTCTAGTTGAAGGCAGACAGCAAATCCTGTTGTGGTTTAGACTTTGTTCTGGTCTCTTTTTCAAGAGTGGCTCCTCTTCTCTCCTCTCTTGTCCTCTCCTGTCCTCTCTTCTCTTCTTTTTCATTGGCAGTCAGGAAAGTAGCTCCCAGGCCAGCCCTGAGCATGTCTGTGACACGGAGAGGAGCCAGGACAGATGGTCTTTCACGTCTCTGCGCTTTTTGTCTAGTGTCCCTGTGCTTGGTGACACTGTGACTGCCCATCCTACTTGACAGTAGGTCAGAATTCCCCATCAGCAGCAGCAAAGCTGTGAGATTAAACAGAGCAACATTTCCACTCTGGGCTCTCAAGTATCAGTTCCTGAAGGTTGTTCTCTTGATCAGGTGTGAGGTGATATCATATTGTGGTTTTGATTTGCGTTTCCATAATGATTAGTGACATCGCGTATCTCTTTATGTGTCTGTTGGCCAGTTTGTATGTTTTCTTTAGAGAAATGTCTATTCACGCTGTTAGCCCATTTTTAACATTAAATAATTAGTTATAGTTTTTCTTTTGTTTGGTTTTCTTCTTTTGTTATTGAGTTGTAGGAATTCCTTACACAGTTTGGAAACTAACCTTTATTAGATCTACAGTTTGCAAATGTTTTCTTCCATTGTGCAAGTTGCCTTTTCATTCTGTTGACGGTTTCCTTTGACGTTCAGAAATATTTTAGTTTGCTTGTCTATTTTTTTTCTTTTGTTACCTGCGCTTTTGGTGTCAAGAACTGCTCAAGAGATTGTTGCTAAGGCCAATGTCAGGAATATTTCTCCTGTGTTTTCTTTTGGGAGTGTTATAGTTTCAGGTCTTATATTCAGGTCTTCATCCATTTTGAGTTGATTATTATGCATGGTGTAAGGTAAAGGTCTGATGTCACTCTTCTGCCATGTATATGTCCAGCCTTTCCAAGGACACTTGTTGAAGAGACGACTGTCTTTTCCCAGTCATGTAGTCTTGGCACTCTTGTTGAAGATCAGTTGACTATATACATGTGGGCTTATTTCTGGAATTTCTAGTCTTTTCTGTTGCTTTGCAGTCCCATATTTTTTCCAATACCATACAGTTTTAATTATTGTAGCTTTGTAGTTTAGTTTGACATCAGGAAGTTTGACACCTCTATCTTTGTTCTTTTTCAAGATCGTTTTGGATATTTGTGGTATTTTGTGTTTCTCTATGAATTTTAAGGTTGTTTTCCCCTTTATTCTCTTAAAAATATTGAAGATGCCAAAGGGATTTTGTTTATGTGGGTTATAACTATCAATATTTACTGTATTAGAAATTAAAACCGAGCAAAATTTAAAAGACACGATTTTGTGAGCACATATCCCAATGGTCATTGAGACTCTGAAAATATCTACTATGTATTTTCATAGGATACAAGTAAACTCCTAAGGCTATAAACTCTTATAGACAAAGAGTTAAAAAGGTAAATCACGTTTTAACATGAGTATTAAAATCAGTTTGATCTTGTAGCTCTCAGGGAGGGACACAGGGACCCTCTGGGTCCGCAGAGCACGCTGTAAGAACTGCTCACTGAAGTTTCTGGCAATGATGTGCTGAGCTCTGTGTGCTGGGTGTCCCAGCTGTGGTGGCAGGAAGGTGGGGGAAATATTGGAGGAGCTTCCTGGTACCCAGGAATCCCCAGAGCACGGGGTCCCCGCTTTATCTCTGCACGAGACAACCCATGCCCCTGAAAATTGAGTTTATGTACATGGTCAATGAAAACGACTTGGCTTCTCTTTCATGAACAATAAAATCTTCATGGACAGTCTAGACATTTGATGCTCAAGTCCGCGTGGGAGTCAGCACCCCGACATGACTGCAGGCCAATGTGGTGAGATTTCGCCTCTTGCTGTGATCACTACCAAGAAAAGCACCAGAGGGTTGGAGGGTGTTTCTTGTTATATGGTTAACCAAGTAAAACTTGACGGCATTTGTGTGAGTGTGTTCTTTCAAAAAGCTCTTTCTTACAGAAATGTGATACTAAGGTATCATGCACAATCACAAACTGTTAACCATCACCAATCATTTCAACAAAAGCTTCTGAGTAGCTTCTACCTTTGTACCTAAAAATATGAGGACCTAAGTATAGTCGATTTCTTCTTCTTTTCAGATCGTTTTGAGACAGCTGTGTCACCGGATATCGATGTGGTCTCAGAAACTGGAAAAAATGTCACGCTCACATATGAGCTTCAAAAGAATGGTTTGATGCAACAGGTAACGTGGGAGAAGATCCAGTCACATCAGATTGACCTCTTAACTAGATGCAACTTATTCCAAGGGAAGAGCAATGTCTCAAGGTACCAAAGACAAATACTGAGCACCTGCGACCAGGGGATGCGACGGAGCACCGTCACCCTGCCCCATGTCACGGCCTCTGATTCCGGACTTTACCGCTGCCTCTTCAAGGCCAGCTCAGGAGAAAACGAAACCTTTGTGGTTAGATTGACCATCAGTGATGGTGAGTATGTGGCACAGGTCTTTCTTTGTCAGACACAGAAGCAGCCTACCACTGTGGTTGCTTTCTGTTGTCTTCTCTAGGATTTTATTGTTCAAAATATTTTTTAATGATTGGATTTAGGTAAGTTTTCAGTTATTGAATGGTAGTCTTTAGCATTTCTTTATCTTGCTAACCCATCAATCACAGGTTTAACAAGGTTAGATGTTTCCCATTTTCTGGATCTGCCCCACATTCCTGAAATTTAAAAAAAAAAAAATTCAATGAGTCTGAAAAAATACATGGAATCTCCAGGCTATAATTGTCAACTGTTGAACTCCTATTTTTCAGTTACATTAAAATTTTTTGGAAAAGAAAACTTTTGGGGGGTGGTGACTAGGTTTTCTAAGCCTTCTATAGCCTCAGCAGTAACAAGATGGTGCTAGGCTGGCCTTGGCTGAATCAGCTGTTGAGTTTAGTGGAACTGAATAAGTGTTGGTAATGTGGTTGCCACTTTGCCACATCAGAGCTCTGAGCTCCTTAGCTGTTTTCAGATGTGGGAGCAGAAGCCGGCTGGCCTCGACACTGTTGATGCTGAACTCCAGGACCTCTGCCCTGAGCTGGCCCCTTCCGAGGCCCAGCGCTCATTTTGTGTTAGTCCTGGGTCTCCTTTGTCTCAAGGAAGCCCTAGCCTACGTGGGCTTCAGGCCCTGCAACACCTGCGGGACAGTGAGAAACAGGGATTTTTCACCCATGGAAGCACCAATCCAGAGAGATCTGCCACTCTGGAGTCCGCTTAGAGGCCTGTGTCCCTGCTGAGTGCAAGGAAGGGTGTCTGGGCTTCCCCAGAGTTCTGGGCAGCTATTCTCACTCCAGGGGGATGTGGCGAGAAAGTAATTTATTTTCATTCGTGACAGAAATTCTCCTCCCTTCTCCCTCCTCCTTCCCTTCCTCCCTCCTCCCTCACTCCCTCCCTCCCTTGAAAAGAATTTTAGTTCGAATTTAAGTTTACCTAAAAAGCCTCAACTTTACCTGTAAGCTTAAATAATAATCTAAAAGGTCTCCCTCCCTTCCTTCCCTCCTCCCTTCCTCCCTCCCTCCCACCCTCCCTCCTTCCCCTTTTTTGTTCGTTCCAGCCCGTGCGCCTCAGCTCCCTGTAGACCTTTATAGCTTCTGGGGATTCGGCAGTCCCTCCATGGAGGGTCTGTGCTGCAGACCGGTGCTTTCTCCTGCCCGGGGGAGGAAGGAGAAATGGTTGTTTCTACAACAGCCTCCCCACTCGCGGCAGCTGCAGCAGCCACGTGGGCCGTTGACGAGGACAGCTGCAGAGGACAGCCCTCAGTGTGCATGGTTGCCTTGGGCCACATCAAGTGCTCTTTGCTCCTTTAAATGACAGTGGGAGCTGTGGGTGACACATGTGTTCTTTTTAGAGCTTGATGCAAAAGACGGTTGACAGACTATTTGGGGGAGAAAATTAACTGAGATTTTTCACTTTAGACATACACAGAAAATATTTCTTAGCTCAAAATAACCGTGTGGTACAGAAGTGTTTTTTAAACCTGGCTGCACACACACGCAAAGTCTAAAAACAGTCACTAATCTTCTCTCGGAGACCAAGGCCAGAAAAAGTTCTGTTCAGAACAATTTCTTAACCACTTTTGAACACATGGGAAATAGGATCTTGTCCATTATATGTTCAAAAAGTGATTATAAAAATCTTAAATCATTGACAAAATAAGGGTAATGGATTTTTTTTAGGAAGTATAATTATTTTACTCTTACTAATTTTAAAAAATGGTTTTGTTTTTTTTTTTTTTTGTTCAAACATGACCAAGTTTCTTGCATGTAACTATTAGTTTCTTGGTACATAAGCTCTCAACAGTGTTGAAATGAGAGTGACTGAACCTAACGGTCAGTATCGTTGGTGTTCATTTGTTTGGAACACCCACAAAATTGCTTTTTGAGATTCAGTGGGCAGGTTGAAAGAACATCATCTGGGCCCTGAAGATGACAGCTGTTGACTGTGTGTTTTGGTTTAATTCTTTTTAAAAATAATCAGTAGTATGCATTGAGTATAGAAAATCAAATGCGAAGCGAAACAAGATCACTTGACTTTTCCGTGGTACCATTTGTTTATTTCAAAGCCTGAGACTGTCAGGTCAAACATCAACGTAGAGATAAAAGCAGAGAGACAGGTGTCAATGTGGGGCAGGTTTAGTTTCTTTCGACTGCCAAGGAAAAGATGATTGTGACACGGATTTCATAAATCGCTATGATCCTTCAGTTAGCTCCTGCCCCCTTCTCTTGTAGGATCCAAAAGAGAGGCTGGAAGAACCCTCAGGCTCTACACTCACGCAGGGACTCTTCCCCTGACATTTGTCTGCCTGTGTTCATATCCAACAAGTACCACGTACTCAGAGATCACCCAAAAGGTGCCACAATGTAAACCCATATGTCATAGATCCAGGCCTTGACTTATTTTGAATAGAGAGAGAAAGTGGCAGAAACACAAGTAGAACCCAAATTTACTATTGACTCTCTTTGCTAGAGGAATAGAAGTGGATAGAAATACTTGTCTCCCGTTCTCAGCACTCAGAATCTGAGAAGTAGTAGGAAATAGTTCCAGGCTGACTTTTCTGCACTTGAAAGTTGTCTAGAATGCAGGGCCAAGAAACAGGGGAAATTGTGTGTGTACCCACAGCAACCAAAATTGTCCTCGGCCTTTAACGTTCTTTGGAATTTCATTAATCATGATAAAAGTATTTTGGTTTCCATCCAGAGAATTTGTGAAGCCTTTTAATATTAACTAAATGATCTTCAAACTACAATTGTTTTAACTGAGCTTATTGATTATAAAAAGGAGGAGGAACAGAGAGAGGAAAACAGTGCTCTGGGAGTGTTTCTGGAGGAGTCTGGTTTGGAACGAACTTCCCTCGGCCACTGCTGAGAAGTGTAGTTCCTCACGTTCTGCAGGCTTCCACCAACGAGGCCACTCAGCTGAGTCATCAGGTTTCAGATGAGGCTTTGATGACAGAGCAGAGGAGAGGGACACGCAGAGGACAGGAAGTGACACGGAGAAAGCAGAGCGGCCCAGGAACTTGTGTGTGGCCGGCGGTCATAGATGTCTAGGTGGATATCGAGGTTCTGCGTTCCGGGTTAGCGTAGGCAGTGGCAGGCCCAAGTAAGTGATAACTTGTTGAAGTCCAGGATCTCTTTTAAGAGCAATGAAGACTACTCTCAATTCGTGACCATAGATGGCAAACTAATATTCAAGGAAGTGAAAGTCGAAGAGTCAAGTATTGACTGAAAAAGAGAAATTCCAGGGGAGGTCACGAGCGAGGAGTCAGGTGTGGTCGGTGACACATGAAGGACTGAGCCCTTGGGTGGGGCTGCCGCCATCACATATGGGGTCCTCGGGCCACAGAGGAGATCCCACTCCAGACAGACAAAACTTCATGAGGCACTTCCTCTGGGCAGACAAACTAGGAAAAGGTGCCCCTTCCTCTGGGCTGATGCAGACCCCCACTGGCGAACAGGCTTGCTGGTGGCCACGGGCCTTCTGCCCACCTGGGTTGGGTGCCGACGGGAGAGAGAAGCTGGTCTGACGGAAATATCAGCTTGGGTTTGTCACACCTAGACAGTCACTCACACTTTTCTATTTCCCCCTTTCCTTTGCCAACCTACTAATCTTTTGCACATGTACCTCCTCTCCTTCAGCGTTTCCACCAGATCTCACCATTTTAGGATTTTTCCACATTGCCCCATGTTGCTTCCCAGCCATCGACCCCTCAGGCACCTTGAATTTCTCAAACATTTATAACTTGGAGATTCATACCCTCCAGTCACCTAATACCTGCACCTATTTGCAGTGGTCCAGGCTCTTATATTAAAACTTATTTGGAATTAGGGGATATGGCATCTCTGATTAGAGCTCTCAAAGAATGTTTGCAGACCATGTGTTACCAAGTGTTCTTGGCTGATTCTTTGTATGTTAATAACATGTTTGTATTCTAGCAGGGACTGTGTCCATTTTGTGTTCAAGTTTTCTAGCCAGATTATTTCTAGATTGTCTTCATCAAAACTTAACATTTGAAGTTTAGTGATTACTGATCAAAGAAACTAGAACTCTTACAAGGTTAATGACATTGCTGGAGGAGAAATCCTCATGACCTTTGTCTGCATTTATATCTTTCCAAAAAGTCTATTTCCTTTTTTAACTGCACTTTTCTTATTTCACGCATTTGATGTAAATGGTGCGTGATTGCTCTTCACCGGGCTTGGAGGATGGGTTTCGTGAAGGAAGACTGCAGAGGGCTCACTAGGAAGTCGTGGGCTCAGAGCCAAGAGAACCTTCCTATAGGTTGCTTCTGGAGGCACAGGACTCGTTGATCCTTCGGTCCCACTCCTAGGAATGTATAATGGGAGTGAACGTTGTGGGCGAGGGTGGGCTGAGCGTGGGGCTGGGTGGATGAATTCTGCCTCTCATCATATTCACCACGTCCACAGAAAATAATGTGCGTGGTGGTTGATTGGTGGACAGAACCACGGACCAGAATCCCAGAGCACTGGTGTCAGGGCTTGCAGGTTAAAATAGCCTCTAAGGAAATGGACCAAAGGCAATTTTCAGGCCAATTTAGTTAAGCTTCAAACATTCTGGACAACAACAGGGTATCCAGGTGAACCATACTGTTTTTTATCATCACAAGCGAGTTGATTATTCAATCATGGCCTACCATACCGTTGAATCTTTACAGTTGCCTCTGCCCAGATCTGTTCTTTTAGGAGACATGGCTTTAAAAAAAATGCCACGGGTCAGTTTGTTTTGTAAGCCACACTTACTGATTTATTCATCTTCCCTGATATCCCAATTTCTGCGGTCATCTTTTATACATACCATATTTGCATAGATGAACAAGATACTGAATTCAATAATAAGAAGTTAATATCAGAGAGAAGGAGTGTTGAAAGAGGCCATGTTACCTTGATTGGGTGATGCTATTCCATGAGAAACATTGCTCAGTACATATCGGTACGTCAGGCACATAAAGCAGATTCTAACTGAACGTCATGATACAGAATGTAGGTTGGTGGTATTAGAAAGCAGCCAATTCTAGGAACTGCTTTGTTTTAAGCAGACCTTTATCCTCAGCATGAATGTCAAACAATTTTCATGAAGTGTCCCTCTCGCTAGGAACTTAGAGCACAGGTAGATACTCAAATTCAGACCAATGCACTGATTTTCTTCCCACTGGAAACCCATGGCCACGCTTGCTTACTCGGGAGCCCTGCCTGATGATCCCAGCTGCAAACAGCTGTTGACACTCTGTCGTGGGTGGGATTTTTCACTGTAAAACACCTGGGAACTGCGAACAGCTTGTGGTCGTCTCTCACAGCCTTATTAGGAACAGAGCACACACAATTGTGTGAAATTTTCCCCAAAGGCAAGTAGGAAGTAATTCACAACTTTTAAAAATTGGTCCTTCATAGAAGATTAACAGCATTTTCCCCTCCATGGCAATTCTAATTTAAGTGTTCCGACTCAGCTAGTCAACTCCTTCTGACTTCAGCTGCCGTTGCCTCTGTAGTCGCCCCAGAAGGTCGCAGCCCTGGAGTGAATTCTGCAATTACATACCCCACTGACAGTTTGTTTGAACTGCATTTATCCTCTCTGATGGGAGGGAAAATAATGGCCTTATGGTTCGCGACACTTTTGTCCTCCTAAGAATCGGCTCAGCATTGGGACAGAAGTGGAAACAAAGTCAGCAAAATAGTGGCTGCTGAGAATAGACAATCATTTTTGTATCTTTAAAGGAGGGGCTGGAAGGCTGACATTCTCCCCCAAGGATCTCGTAGCAGAACTTCGGGCAACGTGAATGTTAGGACTGTTGGTTAATTCCCAAAGCACCCAGTCCTGCCCGCATATCTTGTGTGAAACCAGTGGCTGTACTTTTTAGTGGTGTCTGCTTCTGAATTCATTCAGTGTAGAGCTTAATAAAAAAAATGCCATCTTAGTTCTTAAGGGTTCTGTGTACACTTGGGCAAAGACGCTCTCTACACCCTGCATTTTAAATATAACCACTAAATTTGGAAAGATTATTCAGTTTTAAGCACACAGACCTTTAAATTGGGTGCTATTTTTTTTCCTGATTACTAAAAGCAATACATCAATTAGTTTCAAAATACCAAAAAGCCTAAAGAAACAATTGCTTTTAACTCTTTTTTCCCTGAAGAAAATCATCACTTTAAAATTCTGGCACGTTGCTGCCTTGCAGGCTTACTTCCCAGTAAGCTCCACACTTGACTGAGACTTGTAACACGCGCAGCTGTGAATTCTGGTTTAAAAATGTTATTTAACTTGCTGTCTCTCGTCAGCAGCTTTTCATGTCACTGGAATTCTTGACACTCCTCATTCTAGTGTCTATCGCTGCGACTTTCAAATGGTGGGCCTTGCACCAGCGTCGTAGGCGTCAGTGACAGCTGCTAATCCTGGGACCCACCCAGACCTGCAGCGTCACACTCAGGAACTTGCAGGGTGGGGCTCAGCCACCTGGGGGTGGACAACCCCCACCCCATCCTGGCATAAGTCAAGTTTGACAGCCCCAGCTGCTCACGCTTGCTAGTTGGTGTGCTGTTGAGGAGCAAGGGTTTTCTTGTTCCTGTTGCAAATATTACACACTTCTGAGTATTTCTTTAGAATAAAGTAATGAATCAAAGGTGGAAGCACCCAATGAAAGGGCGTGACACAGAGACCGATTTCTTTTTGGTTGTTGTAAGTTGGAGCAGTTTTTCTTCCCCAAACAGAGCTGGGCTAGCTCACCGCACACTTCCGTTTGTACAGACTTACTCTTTAAGAGCTTTTGCGTCAATGGCTTGTAGCTCTCCTACTATCTTATGTCCCCTTTTCTTAACAGCAAGGATACATTACAGCTACTAACCAGTTTTTTTGTTTATCTTTACGTGCTGTTAGGTATAATTCAACCTACAGTTATTTTTCATTTTGACTGGCTTAATCCTGTATGTTTATTTACATTTATAGACTGGAAAGTCATCGCTCATTCCAGAGATTTACTTATATTTTCTCCGCATTTACATAAAAAGTAGATCTCTAGTTGACCCAGATTTCTTTTTACTGTAATAGAGATCTAAAAAACAGTTTTAAAAAATAGTTAAACAATTCATCCAGAATATTGTCAATGAATTTAATAACTCTTATTTCCTTGCTATGATTGACTTTTTTATTAACCTCATTATCTCTTATATTCCAATTATTTCAGTAGAGCAAGTACAATCCTTTTATAGTTTTGGGTTATAGTAAAAAAATTTCTGGTATTTTGTTTATTTTTATAATGTGCCAAGAGCTTTAAAATGTTGATATTTTTATCTTATGGGGAGAAAATTTTATTGCTCTTTTTGTAGTGTTGGTTCAATGCATTTTTGTTCTAAATGAATTTCGCTTTTCCTCTCCCCACCATATTTGGACAAAAGTCATACTTAGACTCGATGTACAAAGTCTTTAAAGCATTCATCTATTTTTATACTTTTAGTCACCTTCTAGGTTAAACAAATTTAAAACATAAAAGGAATATTTATTGTTTGACTTAGTTTCTCTTGCAGTAATGCTTGCGAAAGAAAGAGTGGATTCTGAGCTATTATCGTGAAAAAAGCGGTAGCTAGTGAATTAGGAAGAAAGAAATAATCTATAAGGCTGTTAAGAATCCAGAGAAAAGTTGGTGTTCTGGTCCCCGCGGGATCCCAGGCGGCAGGGGCACCCCGGGGCAAGCTCTGGGGCTTTAATTTCCAGAGGTGGGAAGTCCCACCACCTGGCCATGCTGTGAGGCAAGTTTGCTGTCCCAAAGAGAGGCGGCCCTTCGGACGGCTCCCGGGTTCCAGGCAGCCCCATCCCGACCACAGCACAAAGGGCTGGAGCTGTGTCCCCTGGGAGGGAGGCGGAGGGCGAGGTGCGCCTGGGCCGGGGTGGGGGGGGGGTGGTGGACGCTGAGGGGGTCAAAGGCTCTTGAGCGCCTGAGGGCCGCGCTCGCTCCGGGGGCGACCCTCGTCCAGCAGTTCACTCCCTACTCCGGGCCGCCCCGAAGCCTACGGCAGCTCTGCGATGCCATCAGCGGACGGAGGGAGAACGGGGCGCAGAGAAGTGCAAGGAATGTGCAGGAGGTCAAAACACTTCCTAAGGGAAGGACGAGGATGAGAATTTCAGATTCCCGGGCCGCGGTTTCTGTCCAGCAAGCAGTGAGCGGGAGGAACACACGTTTGCTCATTTTTTTTTTTTTTATCAGTAACCCCAACTGAGTGGGAAATACTTCTTAGACAAAATTCTACTTTTAAACATCAAAGTTACATACTGTTGTGTGTTAAATGTACTTAATACATGTATAAGACATAAGAAGCCATCTTTATTTGTATACAATTCTGATCATTGTTTTTTTCTACAAAAGATTTTATGTTTGCGACCAGGAACTCATTAGAATGAAGTGGTATCTGTCTTGGATGTACACTCTTTCTATTATTATTCTTAAGGTGTCCAACCCATCTTAGGGATCAAGGAACTAATAAAAATCTGTGAGAGTCAGAATTATTTAGGAGACTTGGAAAGAAAAATAACCTTTTTCTTTGGTCTCATCCTATTTTTTCTCGGGTTTGTTGTTTGTTTTCATGTTCCTCCATGATGATTGATGGCCCCTTCCCTCCTGTTTCTACCTTCCGTTTTGCTGGCTTTAGCTAAATTCCTAATTTCTACTACCATTTTTTTTTTCTCCTAGATAAAACTGTTCACCACTATATCCTCTTCACGGCTGGAGGGCCCGTTTTATTGCTGCTGTTTGTTATCCTCATTGCCACCATCATTGTCATTGTTTATAAAAGGTGAGCATCGCTTCTGAACCGTGTGCGCCCTGAGTGGTCCGGACTCCGGGTTCCTGTTATTCATAACCCAGTCATTCCTCAGGCTGACTTAGCACTCATGTTGTTTTGAGTGCTGTTTTCACACAAAGGAGAGGAAGGCGCTGTAGGCGTGGGGGAAAAGGGAGAAGAGTTCACTTACTAACGAGTAGGCGCTGGCAGTCTCCCTCGTCTTAACAAAGCTTCCCTATGCTGGGCAGCCGGCTGCCGACGCCCCGGCCCTGTCTCCCGCTCCATCGATCTTCCTTCCCTTGTAGGTGTGAGTCTGCGGGGTGAGGGGTGAGGGGGGAGGGGTGACGGGGGAGGGGTGTGTGTGTCTCAGAGAAGCAGAGAGAGATTCTGAGAAGGAGGAGAACAGGGTTGAACAGTAATAATGCCATTTATCATTCGTCAGGTATTTATTGCAACAGTGGTGAGCAAGATGTGAGGAAGCACACATTCTCATAAGCAAACGACATAATTTAAGGGGTTGTGTGTGTATTCTCCGAAACAAGCAATGTGGGTGCTCTTATTAAAAACTGTCATGGAAGAAAGGGGTTGGGAGGGGTGATCTTCGAGGGAGTAGGGGCCTCTTAGCTCCCTACCTGTTAGTGTCTGTTGGAGCACTTGGGAGTTTCCAGGATATTCTTGGTGGACTATTTCTTCCGTCCCGGCTCTCCATGTTCATCCACGCACGCGTCCCGGCGTCTGCGGCAACCTTGGCTGTGATCGCATTGGGTCGGGGTCACCCCTGGACTGTGGTCCAACCGCAGTGTTATCCTCTCAGAGAGGGAGGGGCCTAACATTTGATGTCTACATTTTGCATGCCTAGCACACCATAGACACTTCATATACGTTTATTGAGTAGATGACTCCGTCCCTCCCCACTGTTCTCCCCCCCAGAATATTACCACAAGTGCATACATGAAGCTGCACACGAGTACACACACGCGCGTGCGCGCACGTCCCGGGTTTCTGGGTCGGGTTTCCAGAGGTTTCTCCGTCTTCCCTCCGTCTCCGCAGCCCCGCCCCCTTGATGTCCGCCCTGCTCTCCAGCCCTCCTCCCTGCTCCGAGCTGTGTCCCCTCTCTTAACGCGCCTGAGCTTTCCTGGTTCCTTTCCTGAAAGCCAGGACGGGCCACGTCCTCTTCCTGTTCAAAGGCTTGGGTGACTTTTCCACGGCCACGAGAATAACGGTGAAACCGGCTGGCCCTGTCTTTCTGACCCAGCCAGCCTCATTGGCGTCACGTTTTCTCCTTTTCCCACTGCCCCAAGGGTGACAAGTTTTGTGACAGCTGCAACTTCGATTCTGTGAACGCACTCGATTCTCTCCTGTGGGTCAGGGGTGGGGCACGTGTCCCGCGTGGAGGTCTGTCCTGCCTCCGCTCCCTGCAAGGAGCCCTGGCGCCCCCACCCGGAGCCCCCCGCGTTCCCCCTCTGCTGCTGCCCGCAGCCTGCTTTCTCGTCCCATCTCCCCGCGCTTGTCTTTGTGTTCACATCGGCAGGGCTTATGCTTGATTCAGTTTTTGGTCTGATAGCATTTAGCACTGATCTTTCCAAATAATGGATGGTCCAAAAGCATTTGTCTAATTAAACTGAAACGAGGGACTGTTGTTCTTCCTTTCTCTCCCCGGGCTGTGCTCCACTCCCTCTTTCTCTTGTTAGAAAAGAGCCAGTTGAGGCAAGGAGCCCCGGGGGTTAGTGACGCTGAGGATTTCTCTACCTCGTCACCTTGGCTGATGAAAAATTACATGGAGGGACGATGCGGCCACAGGAAGACGCGGCGCTCAGAGAAGGAGTGGCAGCGGGTCCCTGGAGGGTTGCAAAGGGTTAGACATGAAGGGTTTAGTTTCATGAAAATGCGCCCCTTTTACACAAATAGCTAAATGGAGCTGTGGAATGTGTTGTCCCACCTGGTTAATGTGATAAAAAGATTAGCCAACTGGAACGTGTAATCACGGTCAAACACAAGGAAAACATGCTTGTTCTTCCTCCCTTGTCACTATGTCAGTGTGTGTTGTCCCTTAGAAGAGACATGTTTGGAGAAATGACACCAGGCCCAAGCAATGAATGACCTGTGATCTTTGTCCTCGTGACCGTTTAAAATACTCCTGTTGCTCCAGACGCGCTGAGTTGGCTAGAAGCCCAAATGCACCCCGTGGGCTGGAAGGAAGCTGAGCGCGGCCTGGCAGCGCGCCGCCGCCGGGAGCGCTCCCCGCACCCAGCCCCGCCCGCTCCGCACGGGCTCCGGGTTAGAGCAGGAGAGCGACCCTGCCCAGAGATCGGGACTGGCGCAAGTGCCCAGCTCCAGTACGCACGGCAGTCTATCCATCCACGGATACCTGTGTTTGTAGGAGGAAATTTAATCTTCAGCGAGCGAAGTGGCAGATACTTATTTTTACATTTGTTGTCCATGTGGATGCTCACAGCAGATAGGGTGGCTGGTCTGCCTAGGATTCTCCAAGTTTCTACACCAAAATTAGCTCATCCCTGGGAAGCTCTTTAGAACCCACCAGCAAGGACAGCTGGACAGCCAAGAGTGAACCACAGTGTGAGTGTGCTGCTCACTGTATTTTACAGCTGCCAGGACTGAGCTTCAGAGATGCGCAAAACTAGCTAGTCACAGAGTACAAGTTCAACACAGGTCTTTGGATTCTAAGCTTCACGTTCTCTTTTTTCTTTGCATTGTATACTCTAGGTTTATGTAAAATATATATATTTGGACCTATTTGGGAAGCTTAACTGTATATTATGATACAACAAGCCTTGTGAATCATGATCTAACAAAAGCTCAAAGGTCATAGATCTACATCTCAGTTTCCTCATTTGTAAAAAGCAGATAATAACAAATATATCATAGATCTCTTTTTGAGCAGTAATTTATATAAGCCACCTTGAAACATGGCTTGCACATAGTAAACTTACATGTAAAATAAGTAAATAAATTGAGTAACTGTTTCAGTAATAGTCAAGTAAATAAATAAAAACACATAGCACAAGTTAAGTTTGTGGTTATGTTGGTATGGTGGAGGATTTCATAGCAACTAGAAGAGACCATGAGGGTCAACATCTGTCATCTGATCAACTTTTCCTTGGAGAAAGGCCACCTTGCCTGGTTTTCAAAATTTTCATGAAGGAATTACTAGTGCATCTTTACAATAACAACTCTACATTTTTGCATCAGACCAATCTCCCTTGGTGTTCAATAAGAGCATTTTCTTAGGGAGATGAAAAGAGATAGCCCCCATAAAACTATTCTTAAAACTTAAATGTAGTCATCTGATCTATTGTGCTCAATTACAATAGCTTCTTTTCTTCTTCTCCTGTATTTTCTTTTCAAATATCTCTCTCGAAGTTAGGCTTTTGGAGGCTTAATTGGAAACTGGAGAGGCTACTGACCAGGACGGCTGCGGATTGCCCCTTCGACTTCAACAGCGCGGCCCCAGAAACGTGGGGTTGGGGGGGCGCTAGTAGGCAGGCGGGACGGCTGTGGGTTCCAATCCACTAGCACCACTTACAGACAATGTGATTTGGAGCAAGTTACCCTTGTCTCTGCCTCAGTCCCCCAGTCTGTTAGAGAGAGAGTTTTAAAACAAAATCTAAATAAAATAACCCATCCGGGTGGTTTAGTAGAATGCCCAGAAAATTTTATAAAGTTTAAATCTGTTAGCATTGCCAAGAATTTACTCTATTAAATTTACTCCATTAAAAAGGAAGTTTTAATTGTGGGTGATCTCCAAGTCTGAAAGTATCTGGAGAAGGCTGGAAGCCATTTTTGTAATAAGCCACTGTGAACCATTCTTTAGTAAACTCACTGAGATGCATGACTGATGTGCGCTGGCTGGATGTCCATTTAGTTGTCTCTACCGCCTGTGAGCATATCGAGAAGGTATGACAAGGAAAAAATTTAGGTCAATAGAATTTGGGTAAGTATGTATGAAGTAACTGTGGGTAGCTACTTCAACGTGTTTAGTAAGGACAGGTACAGGCGAAATACATAGAGGATTTGAAATAACACTAGCACGGAATGTAATTATTAATACTGCTATTGAATATGTATTTCCAGGAAACAGAAAAGGATCCAATTTAAGGAGTCTGAGGGAACAAGGAATAAGGTAAGTTTTCTCAAAGTTGTCATTCTTGCCCCACTTTGTGCATCATAAATGTTTTGCCAACTCAGTCCATTGGCAATTAGCAATCTTCTTTTAAATTCTCCTTTTAACAATCTGGCCATGCAATTGCCTATGGTTCAAGTATAAGCTATTTGATGAAACAATTACTTTATGAACTATTCTCTTATGATTAATACCTTTTCAAATTGTTCATTTTACATTAATAGCAATAAAAGAGCAATTACACCAACGTAATAATAATCAACCCTGTGCATTACCAAAATGTATATTCATTTCCTAGGGCTGCCGCAACAAATTCCCAAAGTGGGTGATTTAAAACAACAGAAATCTATTCTCTCGCAGGTCTAGAGGGTTGGAGCCTAAAATCAAGGTCTCAGCAGGACCAGTTCCTTCTTGGGATGAGAATGTGTTCCACGCTTCCCTCTGAGTGTCAGCTGGCTTCTGGCAATCCCTGGCAGTCATTGGCTTGTGGCTCCACCACCCCAGTCTGCCTCTGTCTTCACATGGCCTTCTTCCCTGTGTGTGTGTTTGTGCAACAACCCTATTTCCACACAAGGTCACACCATGGAGGTCTGGAAAGCCCATAAGTTTGGGGGGGACACTACCTGACCTAGTATGGGGCATAATATTTGTATGTCATAAGGCTACTGTGAAGGTTAAATGAAGTTAAACTACACAAAAGACCCAGACAAGGCAAGAATCAAGAAGGACACGATGCATGATATTCATTATCATTATTGTCTTTTGGTAGTTTATTAATTAATAGATGCTCAAATTATAAAGCTAAAGAGGTTCCAGAGGGTCTGCAGGAGTCTGACAAAGTGTAGCCTTTTTCTCCTCATTCACCCTTGATCCCACCCCTTTTGTTTACTTGAAAGAGTGGAAGATTCCATCTGCATCTGCAGAGAAGTGGACTGCCCATTTTCATGCTCATTGTCTCTGCGATAGGTCAAATATTCTCCTTAACACGCATTATTCTGTTAGGAGGTTTTATGGTAGACCACTTCTCCAAGTATCATCTACAACTGGATCCATTTCTCTTCAATTTCATTATCTATCACTACATTCTACCCTGCCAAAACACCACTTACTAAAACATTTCTGACAAATCAATGGGTGTACTTCAGACTTCTTCATAATCTAACAGTTTAACCTTTTGCCTTCTGCCAGGTAATAAGTCTTTGCAAAACAACATTTGTTTCCTGGGTAATTCATGGCTTACTTTTTGGCACCACCGGCAAAGACCCAAGAAGTCTTGCCTTGCTTTATCTGCCGCTGCTGCACAACTGAACAGCGCTCTGTCTTCCACAATTTTTGGATTTGTTCTTTGTCTTTAGCTGTTGTCCACGCAAGCCAACCCAAAGCCAAATTTGTCACTGTGAATTTCAGAGGAGGAAAGGAGCTTTGCAGCTTCCTACATTGAGAATTCAACTTTCTCAAGCTTTTGTAGAATAATGTTATTTGGAATGATGATTGGAAAGTTAGATTTCAAGTTGATATTAAGATGAAGTTAGACTTACTTGATCCTCTTTTTGTTTTGGTCAGGCTATATAATTAACAATGACACCTGAAATTTCCTTTGCTTTCTCTTTGCAAACACTAAAATAAGTCTAATAATATTATCTTGAAAATGAGTATCAGTTTATTTTGTTAATTTGTTTTAATGTGTTCAGGTCCTTATTGTTAGGCCAGGACACCATGGACTTTAAAAGTATTGTCTCTGGGCTCTGGCCAGGTAGCTCGGTTGGCTAGGGCGCTGACTTAATACGCCAAGGTTGCAGTTTCGATTCCCAGTCAGGACACATACAAGAATCAACGAATGAATGCAGAAATAAGTGGAACACCAAAATTGATGTTTCTCTCTCAAATAAATCAATAAATAAAATAATAAAAAGATTGCCTCTGATGCCATTCATTCAACAGAAATTAATGGGTGCACACTATGGGAAAATGCTATGGTACTAGACTTTTCATATAAAAAATGAGAATAATTGTTCTCATCAAAATAGCCTGACATTGGGAAAGGCAGTTTTATGCTGAACAGGTGTCTCACGAACCCAGTACGGCAAGTGATGATGCCGACTAGGCTTCTGTCTCATCTCACTCACAGTACTGTGAGCCCATCAAGAACATGATTGTTCACAGCAGTTCAATATAATGAAGAGAATGTTTTACGAAATTAATTTTAATAGAAATTTGACCAATATTGTAGTTGAATTGGGGAGACATTTGTTTCTGGTGTCTTTATGCTGAAATGCAGCGAGTTATTGACACCTTCTCTGCCTGTTTTTCTAGGCATCCAACAACTACCGAAGTGCCCCCTTTGCCAATCAGCAGCCCGATGGCGCAGGAGAGGACGTGTACGTCAACTTCCCGACTTTCCCTCGTAGACCGAAGGCTAGAGTCTAAGCTTGTTCCTTGAGTTGATCAAATTTATGATGACTGTTCTATACATGGGTCTTCACATTTTCTTTTCACTACTCAGTGTCTACCCTGGATACCAGTTGACTGAATATATTTTATTTTATTTTATTTTTTTTCAAATATCACACTATTTAATTCCCTAATAAAACACTGGAAAAAGGATTATCAGTGCTACATATACATATAAAATCTCTGCCTAATAAGTAATAGAAGTCTACGTACTAATTTCTTAAAGGACATGCGTACAATTTGGGGTTTGTTAACAAAACAGAATATTACAAAATATTAAAGGCAGTTCTGTCCACGGTCTCACCACCTCATACTTGAAGGGTCAGGCTCTTATCGGTATGGAGACGTCCAGAGTCCCCTCTGCTTTCACCCATCCCAGGACTGTGCTCGGGCACAGAGGGGGACCCCGTCGGTCCTGCCCCGGGGCCGCAGCACACGGTGCTGGGCTGCCGCCCTGACTTTTGCTGGCCACGGAGGGGTAACTGGCCGATCTGCCTACTCGTTCTCCCTGGTGTTGGTGACTTCTGTCACCTAAAGAGAATATCGGTAACAGAAATGTTTCAGTAAACCTGCCTCTAATGAGCTCAGACATAAACGTCAATGTACTGACTCCTGTAACGGAACCGTGAAGGGGAGGTCAAGCTGCAGACAAGGGCGATTGACCAGGGCTTAGAGGCTGCGTCTGAATCAAGTACGAGCATGAACCACTTTCTGGATTCCCTTCCACGAGGTTGTATTCCCTTCTGTGGTGTCAGCCTAACTTCCACTCGGGCTTTGCCCTTTGCTTCCAGAGGGCTCCTGGCAACGCTGGCAATTCGTCATCCTTGTTTCTGTCTGGCAGAGAGTTTACTTATGTCACAGAGCAAACACAGTTGGTGATTTGCCCATTAAACAAGTCTCGTGGCTAGAAAGGATGGAATGACTTTAGTCAATGAGCAAGGAATGGGGCCAAAACACATAAGTGGGAAATTCAAGGTATTGTTAGAAGACGGAAGGGGAGCCCGGAAGCTGGCTGGTCAGCAGCAAACCCGGACTGCAGTGATGTTCCGAGACATCTCCTGTTGATCAGCTATGAAGATAACTTGCCGGGGGATCTCAGTCAGCTCTCTTGCCCTACTTCAGAATCTGCTGTATCAACACAGTTCACAGGAGTCTTTGACAGTAGAAGAAGTGAATGCTCAAGAGGGAGATGTGAAAGGGAAATCTCTCCCCTTTTTGTTCTCAAATAAGTTTATCTCTGAATCTGTACAGAATTCTTGGCACTATCCCTGGCCTAACCTTATGAGAAAGTGTAGTAGATGGTCCAATCATAATTTAATGTTTTTAATATTGAATGTTTCTCCTACTTTTTAGGGTTATTTTAATATATAAATTTTCTCAAAAGGGGCAGGCATGTAGGCAATATTAGCTTTTTAAAAATAATTGTGTGAAATCTGACTACGAGAGAAAGAACGGTAGTGGAGTGTGGTGGAATAGTGTGGTAGCACAGAAAAATGAGAGGGGGAGGTGCATTGGAGAGTAGAGGGAAGGAGGTAGCGGGGTTGAAGGATGGGAAGGTGCAGAGAGATACTTGTCCTGCTTCACGGTTTGGCCAAAGACAACGCTAGTGTATTAGAGACCATGTCTGCCATCATCTGGCTTCTAGATAGAGGCAAACATTAGAAAGTATTTCTGAGATTAAATCAAGGTACCAAACATAGTGATCGTTCCTGTCTCAAGTATCGATGACTGCATCACAAAAACTGCATTAAAGTGTGGAAGCTGTAGACTTCCTGGTTGTCTTAAAGTGAACCAAAACCAAACTCTCCTATGGTCTACACTGGTTCCGAGCTGCACTGTACAGTTTTAAGCCAGTTAGTGGATATATTCCATGATTTTAGCTTTAAATACCATGTGTCCCAAATAGTGCAATTATTCCGTGAATTACAGAAACGGGGAGTGTCCCTGCCTGTTTCAGAAAGGAAAAAAGTAAAACAACCACTTTCTAATTGTATTTATGTACATGCAAGAAGAGTTAGCATGCATTTTAATTTTGTTAGCTTAAAGATCTTTACATGTGGATTCACAGTGTTTCTACAGAATAGTTGGTGTAGAAAAGTTGGAAGATGGTTTACAGGAAAACGATGTTCTGTTTTGTTAACTGTATCAGATCTAGGAGAGTTCCCATGGCTGAATCTATCACTCTGCATGGTCAATCAAACTTAGCATTATTTAAAAAAAAAAGAAAGAAATGCTTTCTTTTTCCCTAAAAGGTAAAGGCAATCAAGGTATTACTTTCTGGACTATTCTGATAAGCACACTGTCAGTGACTAGCACAGATGAGAAGGAAAATGTTTCTACCATTGCAATATGGGGAAAGGCCAGTCCCAGGTTAGAAGAGACAATAGAGACCGTGGCAGGGAGAGGGGCGGGGCAGGGTAAGCCGAGGCCGCTGTCCTGGCGGCCTCCACTGCTGATGTCAGCAAGCGCCTTTGGGGTGCACCAAGTACGTGCTGTGCAAAGAACTCCAGAACGCTTGAAACTTGCCTCTTTTTCCAGGGAAGTTTAATCTTTTTAATCTTTCATTCAAAATATTTATGAGAACAGTTAGCTCTGTGTATTCTTCCTGTGTAGAGCTTAGGAGGATTTTTTCGGGGATTCGGAACCCTCAGATCTGCGGACATTTCTCTGACCTCCCAACTGATCCCCCTACGCTCTCAGCTGTTATGCTGGTGAAATTCTGTTCATTCCTTTTCACCCCCCGGCTCTGGACATCTTCACAAGGCACTTTCATTGTAGTCTCTTTAATATTATTGCTAATTTGATAGAGTTTTGAAATTCTACTGTATACAAATATTATATCTATCTATATCTAACTATCTATCAGTCTCTCTCTCTCTCTCTATCATCTTCATCCCCCTCAATCTGTTGTACCTACTATTCTGGTTGTTACTAAAGAAAGAAATCAAACCACATCCACAGGATAAAAGGTCAGAGTTGAATTAAATTATGTTTTAAATCTTTTTTTGCAAGGTGCTACTTAGGAAGCAAGATGTTTCCTAAGATTCTTTTTTATATATATAATTTATATGATATATAATATATTAAAGAAAAGTCTGTTTCCTCTGAATGCCACTGTTTTAATATTTACAGTAAAGTAACCAATTAAAGGGAATTGCTGTTTGACGACAAGGTAGGTGAGTTTGTTAAGTGTCATCATAGAATACATAGTTTTGTCAGGGAAAAGATGCATCTAATTAACCTGCGAGGACTATGCATTGATTATACTATCATCAGAGTAACTTTGAAACGTCATTGTAAGGCCTATATGACTGCGGAGAAAATGGAATAGAAGTTTCCTTCGCTTGTAATCATGCTTATGGATGGGAGGCAGGTGGATGAGCCTATCATTTTTAGTAAGTAAATATTCAAATTCATAGAATGTTTTAAGTTCTTCAGTTTTCTACTAAAATACACATCAAGTTCAAATATATTGACTTACAAGATAAAGTAAAAGAAAAATAATTTAGTGGATTTACTTGTTATGTTGGTTTATCTGGTACTGTATTAAAAAAATAAAACAAAAAACTACAGTTTCATTACAGTAATTTTCCAAATTGGTAAAGTGCATGTTGTTATTAGGAATCACTGTAATTGACATGCATGTCCGTGACTTATAATAATGCTCTGTATTCTTTTGCTGCTTGATTGAAAATATTGTAGAATTAAGATGCCTATAAAGTATAGGTGGAGATGCTGAATTACGAATACAGTTTAGCTTTTTTCCACAGTAATGATAAGAAAATATCTTTGAATAACATAAAATGACAAACATGTAATGCTATTATTTTATTATCATTATTAGTTTGGCCACTATTAGAACGTAGTGTCTAGAAATTATTGACCTTCATATTCCTACTTTTGCATAAATTACTATATTTTTTCATTGATTTGTTCGTTGGAATTACTTGAAGCCAAATCCCTAGGCTTTCATACATTTATCTGAAAAATAAAAACAAGCAAAAAAAAAAAACTTTTCTAGAATAACTGCAGTGCTTTCTAAGGAAAGTTTATATATAAATCTTCAAGTTTGGCTTACATATTATATTTCTCCAGGCTTAAAGCACTAACTATGTTGTAAAGTATAAGAGAAGATCTAAATTGGGGGTATGGGTGATAAATGTCTGAACTAATCGTCATTTATTGCCTATTGTCCCTCTTTGAATGATGCTATCTAGTTACTGTCTTATTAAACATTTTTTCCAGATGTGTCATTTCAGACTTTTGGGGTTTACATGCAAATATTTCCTTGACCTACTGTATTTTGTTTGAATAGCTAAAATGCAGTGCTCCACAATTATTAGTTTCACTTGCCACGAAAGAATATTAGGCAAGAATTTCTACAGAATAATATTAAAATGAAGAGTTAAATGCAGGAAAAATGCAAACCACTGGCACTTTGTAGTTTCCATCTTGGTGTGGCGCTTGGTGCATTTATAAGTGCGTGTAGTTCAAAGAGTCTACGTGCTGCATGGGTTTTCTGCAAAAAATCCTCCCCTCCCCTTCCTGTTGAGATTAGATTTGGGTATTAGAATTCACCAACTCCCCCAAATAATAGATATATTGCTCATTTTTCTAGACTTGAATTTTACTCAAGTTTATTGATTTTAAAAATTTCAACTTATGTCTAGATAGGCACCTCTTTGTATAAAATATGAATTTCTTTGTAACACACTACCTCTGCAATCTCAAGTAAGAATTTGACCTTTGTTGATTTTTTTAAATAGGAAATTGCCCATTAAAATGCCACAAAATTACACCAAGTGCCTTTTGACCTATAGAAACCAATACTATTAAAGGAAGGAAGCCATGGTTAGGCAGAGCCAACTGTCTATGTGTGGCCAAAGAAGCAAAAGCCCTTTCTGGACTAAATTCTTGTGAGTTTACAACATCAAGCAACAGCTCTGGCTGAGTGGCTCGGTTGGCTGGAGTGTCGT